GTCTCCCCAAGGCAAAAGATACAGTACTTATGGCCAATGTTCACTCTAAGCTCTGGAATCTTGTGAGCAAAAATCCTACTTTCTGAGCTACTGGCACTGAAGTTGTGAGCAAATGATTTGACTACTGCATAAATCAGTTTGCCCTGGAGCCCTCCTTCCTGAGCTAAGACAAAAATGTGTGAGCCGGAGGCAAAAAAACTGTGAGCTAGCTCACACTCACTCAGCTTAGAGGGAACACTGCTTATGGCCATCTGGGGGAGCCAATTTACTTCCACAGGAACGACAACGGTTGAAAAATCCCCACTTTTTTGACTTTTTTGTCGTCTTCTTCTCCATAGACTGAGGAGAAGAAGACAGCGACAAGGGGGGGGGGCAGCGGCCCGAAGGCCTGAGGTAATTTTACCTCAGACGACGAAAAACAAAAAGACTCCTTTTTTTTTTTTGAAAACAGAAAAAGGAAATGAAACTGAAGAAAAACTAAGGCGAAAATGGAGAGCTAGTCACTAAAAGTGATCAAAAGGCAGCGATCCAGCCAGACCTCTCGAAGACAGGTCTGCTCAGCGCGGCGGAAAGGAAAGAACTGGCAGGATGTCCGTGCCTGCCCTTCTGGGCATGCTCACTGGGGCTCCTGAGCATGCTCAGTTGGGCCAGGCACGAAAATCCTTTTAAGAGAGCTTGCTAGGCACCGGCAGATCCAGCGCAGGCGCACTAGATCCCATTGGTGTGAAGCACAGAGACCACGAAGAAGATCAATAGTACAGAAGCAGTAACTCCAAGCAGTGAACAGCCTACTGCCGGTGCTATGTTGCCACGTGCACAACGCCTTGTGGATACCAATGCACCCATCTTAACAGCATAACATTCTAGACTACCTTCTGGAGTGCTAGCACATTCCTACATGCCATACTTATCAGAAGCTTTGCTAAAGGAGGTATTTGGATCTACAGAACTTCCCTTATCTACTAATTCACTTACATTGTCTGTATCACTCTAATAATATTTTGACATTAAGCCTCTGTTCATTTACTTAACCTATCAGCCATTTAGAATGTGCTCTGATACTGCAGCAGAGACTGATTGGAAGCAAATGTAAGGAGTGAAATCCTTCACTACTGCCTCCTCCGAACAGTTCTAAGAAAGTCTAGTCTGAGTGCACTTGACTTCCCATTCATTACCAGATTGGAAAAATTGTCGAATTAGTTACCCTACCTACTGCTGAACACATCCATTTGGTCATCTAGGTACTTCAGAGACAACATACTCCCTCCTTATAATTCTCTAGTCACCAGTTTCACTACCAACTTCATGATGAAATCAGAAGGTGCCTATAGCCCAACTTTTTTAAAAAAAATCACTCTATTGACCATTCTGAATACAAAGCAAGAAGGGATGCCACCATGGCAGGATCGCAAGTAGCTTGAGACCATGTTTCAACACTTACTGTTTTGTTAGTTAATATGGCCCCAAAGGTTCACCTGTGGCGTTGATGAGGGCTGAACTGGGTATGGTATCCCTGAAAGCCAGGGCAAATGTAAGAATCCTCTCGTATTGGAGGAAATGTTTAGAACAACCTCAGGATATTCTAGGTGTACAAAGTTTTGGATTGCTGTTGAAATCCTCGAAAAGATTAGTTGATCACTTGAATTCTATTTTACTGAAATACTCAATCCCCGATGACTTATTGATAAACGAAAACCAAAAGTCTAAATTGAAGGAATGGGTATTTAATAAGGATGGGCTTTTGAACCGACATGTGTTGGTAAGTTGTCGTACAGCCCCCTTGTATAAGATCTTTAAAAGAGATCATTGCAGGACTGTATATCTAGAGAAACTAACTACTCTGGAGCTGAGAAGGGCTTTTACTGCCCTAAGGTTCCACGTCATACCCTCAATGGTTTGTATTGGCCGCTTTCAGGGTGTCCCTGCCGCTTCCAGAATATGCCTCTGTGGTATGGGTGAAGTGGATGATGTCGAGCATTCCATTCTGAGATGTTCATGGCATGAACCACTTAGGCAAAGGTTTGTTTATCCTATTGTACCTCTGTATAATGGAATTTCAGAGCAGGATTTGACCGTTTTCTTGCTCTCTGATATTGATGCACATGTTACTAGCAGAATGGCTTTGTTTGCACTGGCGGCGAAAAAGATAAGACTGGGTCTAGGACTTACTGTAAGTTACTGATGTATACTGTTGGTTGTGCTTTGATTTATTTTGTGTTGTTATGGCCAATGGCTAAGACAATAAACTTGACTGAAGGAAGGTAGTTAAGATGGCACAGGAATCTGTTACAGGCCGGTCACTCTGCCCCCCCCCCCCCCCCCCCCCACCATCACAGCACACACTGAGCAGGTTGTTGCCACCCTCACATACCCTTTCTTGTACACTCAACAGCAGCCTTAAACATTCTTGCCCCGCTTTAAAAAGCTGCGCTGGCAGCCATAAATGCACTCCAGGCCCGTGGCTTCTGGGAAGTCAATGGCGGTGTGAACACAGATTCTTGTTTTTGTTTGAATAAGCTACGTGTGCTGCCACTAAGGTTTTCGCTGTCAGCATCGGAACCATGATGACCAGTCCAGACTAATTAGTGCCACTGGTTAAAACATTTTATGAAAGATCTGGGAGAAAGGTAGCATACCTTCACAAATCTGGATCACTTTTGTAAGAGGGTGACAGCCATTCCAGTCGCAAAATTACACATATCCTTAGTCATACACGAACCACGAATGATTTACACTTATCCACTCATTTTTATTCTATTGCCAACTCCCAATCTTTTTCTCTTGCTACAAAATTAATGTCATTCTCATTCCTCTAAAACCAGTTTGCTTTAATCACACAGGTATTCAAAACATTACCCTGGATCCTGCAAACTGCAATCCCTTATCTTTCCTTCTTAAAGCAGTTCCAATACTCTGGAAAGCCGATAACGGGGAGCAGGAAAACATGGACAAAATGTCCATGAAGTGCAAGAACTGCAGTGAGAAGAGGCAATTAGAAAAATGCCCCCCCACACACACTGTTGGGTGCAGTGATGCAAGATTTCCACGGATGCAAGCAAATTATTTTGGCCAGTCCCCCACCCCCGCCGCATGCACACACAGTGCAGCCCCTGTGCCTCATTTTCTGTGAGGCTCCCACAACAACCAGCTT